CCCAACCCCCCCATTTCCCCTCCCATCCCCAAGAGTTTCTCAGCGGATTTGGGCTGTACTCAGCAAGCGCAGTACAGCCCCCAACTCAGATTTGGAAAAAAATCAGTGAACGCCGGACGGTTTTTTTTTTTTTTTTTTTTTAACTGGTCGGCAGACCGCTGACCGGTCGGCCCAACTGGTCGGCGGTCAGCAGGGATGCAACCCTGATTTGGACCATTTCTCGATTTATGCGTGTCATGATCCCCTTTCGCAGGGGCCATGCTAATCTTCATTCTCTGTATTTATCATTCCAATTTTAACGGATGTCCCGAAGGACTCGGCACGGCGTCCGCTTGCAAGTATGCTGTAAACGTTTAGGCGTTTATCGAAGCACATTTCTGAAATGTGCTTCGATAAACGCCTAAAAGTTTACACCACGACTGCGCAGTGGTGGTGTAAACGAATTGTTTGCAGTCAAAGCGCAATCCTAACCGACATCTTCAGAAAGTTGTTCTTGTTTGAACTTGGAAGTTTTTTGCATTGTGTATCCACCCCAACCCCCCCCCCCTTTAGAAGACAGGCGTTTATCCTGCAGGCTCTGTTTGCATGGCTGTTTGGGTGGGTATCTTGCAGGCCGTGTTGCCCTGAACAAGGATGAATGGAGGGCGTTTAAGCTGATAAAGAAGGAGATTGTCACACACGATACGCGGCGTTTTGTCTTTGCTTTGCCGTCGCCCAACATGGTTCTGGGCCTGCCAATAGGCCAGCATGTGCTTGTAAGGTAAGATACTAAGATGCCATGAAGGGTGCTTTTTTTTTTCCCCCCCCGGAAGAGTGGGATGCAGTTTGACTTCATCGCATAATGTTGCTGCGTCATTGTTGTTGTATTTAGTTTTAACATGTGTTAATTCTTCTTCTTCTTCTTCTTTTATTCTTCTCATTCTAAATGATATTTTACCGGGCAGTTCTGTTTGTGACGATATATATATATGCCTACGGTTTACCGGGCAGTTCTGTTTGTGACGATATATATATATATATATATATATATATATATATATACCGGGCAGTTCTGTTTGTGACGATATATATTTACCGGGCAGTTCTGTTTGTGACGATATATATGAACCGACAGTCTGTAGAGTTTTCCATCTGGTGTGGGTGAGTGATAGTCTACTTTGATTTTGGTTAAGGTAGATTACCATTTACAGTGTAATCAGTGAGGGGATTCTGCAGACTGTTGAGGGTTCAGCCTCCTGATGAGTCGGTGAAACTCCGACGAAACAGTTTGTCACAGCCCCTCGTTTGTTGTCCTCTTCTCTCTCTC